CTCTGAGTCCTGAAGAGCTAGTAGGGCCCCTTAGCTCCACATAAACAACTAAGCACTCTCCTGACAAGGACCCTGCCCCTTCCGCTGACAAACGGTGTCATGCTGACCTGCACACTCCAAGGGAGAGTCTCAGTGCAGGGAAGCTCAAGATCTCCAGGGGTACTTGGTCAGTGTTGCAATCCGCTGTGGCCTTCGGTGTTATTTATCTGTAGTTTGCAATGTAGGGAGTGTGCTGTATCAGGTGTACAAAGCAAACAAAAACTCCTTGCCTCTGAAACACTGGCATTTTAGAAAGAAAAGATTCGGCTCATTGAACAGAGCCCCAGAGGATACAATTTATTGTGGTTTCTCTGAAAAATCACCCCCTCCTTTCCATCTCTCTTCTACCAATTTTATTCAGGCCTTCACCATTTCTCATTCAAACTGGTCTTCCCGCCTCCTGCCTGCCTCCTCTCCCACCCACAGTCCACAGGGCCGCCAGAGCAAGCTGTGTCAAAACACCCGCATGGACGGGAGCCTTCCTTGCTTTCAGACTTTTGCTGCCTCCCCTGTGCCGGGCTCAGGAGAAAATACGACCTCCAAGGCCTTTCATAACTTGGCCTCAGACCACCTTCCCTCCCACTCCAAGAATCTCAGGCTCCAGTTACACTCCACCACTCACTGCCCCGCTGCTCCCTCCAGGCAACTCTCAGCCAAGTTTATTCACACATTTAGCCCTTTCAGTCTGGATATATGGGGACTGATCGTGTACTATACTTCTTTTAACTTCTATAGAGCAATCTCTTTAGAGTTTATACAATTATGACATAACAGCAGCAAGAGAAGAAGTTTCAGAGGACACAAGGCAGACATAACTACATAAATGACCTACTGGGGGCAAATATTATAAATTAACTCATGTGCCCAGAATGGATGATCAGATGGAGGCAGTTTGCTGAATCTGATGATCAAATGCCTCTGGTGGCACATAATGAGTAAGTTTTAATTTTTATTTTTTACATATTGAATTCAGAGGGTGGTTTTGATGGGCAGACTAAGTCTTAAAAGAGTCATGGGCTTTTGGGATCCACACTTCACCTTTTCTGTTCTTCCCTGCACCTTCTCTACGTATTTATGTGAGGTAGATGTGTCGTTTGGGGATCAAATGGTGAGATGACAACAGTTTAGGAACTGCCTTACACTGGCTACTCAGAAGCTGTTCCATTCAAGCTAAACCATCAAGGCCTTGGAACTTAGGAAGAAATTCCACAGTAAGCGTGGTAGGATTGGTGGCATTGATCCTTGGAGGGGAGGACAGAGAGGCACGTGGTGCGCTGCCACGAACTTCTAGGGGGAAAGGTTTTGTCTTATTCATCTCAGTGTCCCCTGTAGTGCCTTCCCAGGACAGTGGCTGGCACATGATGGACCCTGATTCAGCTATTCAACAAATATTTACTAAGTGGTAGAGGATTTGTTTTTCCAGGTTTAGCGTGTTAAGCTTGTTAATAACAGCTGAATTCTTTCTCTGTTTTGTCATCTGCACTTTTGGACTCTAAGTTGGACTTCGTCTTTCATGGCTTTTTTTTTTTTTTTTAAATCACTCCCTGTCTCTGTTCCCCAGCCCATTCCAGCGTTCTACATACAGTTGGCTTTCAGCAAATATTTCTTGGGGGAGGAGGAGAAAAAAGGGGAAGAGAGACAATTTACAACAGGCAACACAGTGAGGTAGAGATCATTCTCTAATTCATTTTGGAGGCTGGAGAATTTTCTCTGAGGCTAGTGCCCCAGCCTCTTTCCAGAAAGTCCTGCCAACATGATGACTCTTGCCACCTTTGGTTCCCTTCCTATGCAGGTCATGTTTTTCACTGAAGCCCTTAATTTTCTCCACCTAACAAGGTAAAATGCCCTCCCTCACTCCCTCCTTTTCTCCTTACTCCCACCCTTCCTCCCACCCTTTCTTCTTTCCACAAATATTCCTGAAACTTATGCTCTGTGCCAGGCACTGTGCCAGGCTCTGACGGTACACAGATGGGCCACTTTGGGCACTCAGAGTCTTGCCCAGGGAGCTCAGTCCAGTGGGGAAAAGGACACACGCAGAGACCATTGCAAACAGTGCAATGAAGGCTCCCAAAGTCGCATGCGCAGAGGCACGGAGGCTTAAACTTACCTACAGTTAGAAGGAAAGGAAGGCAGGAAGTGGCAAGCAGGAGGGTCAGGAATGTCTTCCCAGGAGATGAGACACAAGACTTCAGTAGTGAAGAAAGGACAGAGCCTCATGGGAAAAAGATGGAAAGGACATTCCAGGCAAAGGGAAACAGTGTAAGCAAACGCAGGGGGTAAGAGGAAGATGATGAAACTACGACAGGTTTTTCTATGTGACTTATCAATTCCATCTCATTGCTTTATACTCTGCCCATCTACCTCATAACAAGTGAAATGATGCAACCCTTAAGCATTTTAAGAAATTTAGATAGCCAATCATTTAATCTCTTAAAGAAAAAGGCATTCATAACATGGGCTATCCATGAGATTAAGCATGTTCTTGGGTGAAAACAGGATTGGGCCCTTACAGGAAACCAGGTGGAAGGCTGATGAAAATCAAGCATTTGATGGGAAATGTAATATATTTGATTTTCTATTCTCCCTGGGAATTTGAGAAGTTGGAATCCTTTGCCACGAGGGCAGATGAATCTATGGGCTCTCTTAGCTTATGGATGAAATAAACTGAAGGAAAAAAACAGAGTGAATCTAGGAATTTCAAGCGGGGACAAGGTCCATTTTTGAAAGCTTTGTGGACTAAACTTTTGCAGGTCCAACACATTTGTAAAACTGAGATCCTCCCAGTTCTATCAAACCAGCTTGCATTGTGATGGAAAACTGAGAAGAGGATAAAGCCCTTCTCCCAGTGTAGTTTATTTCTGTACACAGAACCTCTGAAAACAGGAGGCCAAGGCTGACCTCTTTAGTCAAGAGTCAGCTCAACTTTAAAATTATGATTGCATGTGAAAGCTAAAATGGGAAAGAGAAAAAGGCAGTTCTCAGGACAGAAATGCTAAAAACCCTTGGGTCACATTCCAGTTAGGGTCCTGGCCCTTTGGGACTGGGTGGCCAAGAGACCAACCAAGGCCAGTTCAAACCAGTTGAGTGTCAGGGGCCATGGGGTTTACTTTAGAGGTGTTCAGTTTACAGATAAAGAAATTTACTATAGTGATTATGCTACATAATCCTTAAAAAACAGATCCTCAATGCCAGGTCTCATTATTGAGAGAGGTGCCTGCCAAAGAATCTACCCACTCCCAATGAACTATTTGCAGTAGTTGAAGAAATCAGAGGGATAGAGTATTAGTTTCCTAGAGCTGCCATAACAAATTATCACAAACTGGGTGGCTTAAGACAACAGAAATTTATTCTCACACAGTTCTGGAAGCTAGAAATCCAAAATCAAGGCTGGTTCCTTCTGGAGGCCCCAGGGAAGAATCTTCCATGCATCTCTCCTAGCTTTGAGTGGTTGCCAGCAATCCTTGGTGTTTCTTGCTCGGCCTGCAGCTGTGCAACTCTTCTCTCTGTCTCTGCCTTCACACGGGGCATTCTCTCTGCACCCAAATTTCCCTTTTCTTATAAGGATATGAGTTATTGGGTTGGGGCCCACCCTAATCTAGTATGAACTCATCTTACCTTGATTACATCTGCAAAGACCCTATTTCCTAATAAGGTCACATTCACAGGTATCTGGGGTTAAGACTTCAACATATCTTTTGGGAGGACAAAGTTGCAACCCCAGGAGTGTACAATTGAAACAAAACCAAAACCCTGAGCTAGACATGAGAAGACCTGGCTGTCCAACCTACTGCCTCCCCACTGCGTTGCCCTTGCCCTAAGTCTTGGCTTCTCCTCTCTAAAGTAAGGCAATGCCTGCCCTACTTACTTCAGAAACGTCATGAGAATAAAATGAAATCATGTAAATGAAAGTATTTTCTATTCGGAAAGTGTTTCTACAAGTGCAAGGGATTATTATGATTCCATTCCAGATTGTGTTGACTTCTCCTTAACTTCGTAACTACTTAACGAGTAGGTAATGGAATGAGAAACACAGCCTGTCCTAAAGGGAAGAGAATTTAAATTACATGCCTCTCTTCATTTAGGGTTTGAGATAAAAGTACAATAGCAATCACAGATAAGGACAGCAGTATTGGAGATGCCTGTTCAATGGGCTTTTTTACTCACACCAAAACAGGATGGTATTCAAGTGAATCTAAGGGGTGGCAGGAAATTTAACAGCAAACCAAGCGGCCTGACGCTCTCATCTGGGACACCAGCAGGCATCTCCTATAGCAGTGGCTTTCCTTCCCAGTCTGCGTGGTCCGTAATGTTACTAGCTCCCATGACCATGTCCTGATAATGGCTTTGAATTTGCTTTGTCTGATGACTTTCGTGGATATGGAAACAGACCACCCAACTTATAAAATTAGCTTAGAAGACATTTTCCTGACCGACTGATGTGCATACTCCCATGTCTATTACACAAAACAGAAACATTGTATAAAAAATAAAATAAAAATAAAAAAATGAAAAAAAAAAAAAAGCTCCCTTTCCATTTCCCTTTTTATGAAGCCTAAAGCTCTAGAAGGGGTGGGAAAACTTTTTCAGGCCACTAGACTAAGTCAATGGGATTTGGAAGGCAAAGATGGCCACACATATTGGAAATGCTGAACGAGGTGTTATTGGGGTAACAGCTTGAGAACTATAGTTATGTCCAAAGCATCATGTGACTCACTTGAGTGCTACTGATGACCACGGTAGTGATAAATTCTGTTGACCTTGGACTGTGGGGGTTTGCTGACCCAGGAGAAATCCCACAGGGGAAAAATAGCACCAGCAAAAAAAGAAACAAAGAGGCTCTCAGAAAGCAGTCCTCAACCTGTCCTGCCCTGCAAACTGAATCCTCTATTTCTCACTACTGGGTATGTATGCTTCCCAGGGACTGTCCTACACTTTCAGGAACATGCCAAATCACACACCAGTTTAACAAACAAAACTTTATTTTCCTTTAATACAAAAATTAAATAGCAAGGTTTTTTTTCTATACAGTGATAAATTAGAAATTTACAGTACAGACATCAATGCAGACATACTTTTGTACATTCTTAAAAGCAGGGTCCATTTTCTTTGAAGTTCAGCAATTCACTGAGGGCATGTGTAGGAGTTTGCCTGGTACCTCTATGTCGAACATCTGAAAGTCCCCCAAGTTGGTTTCAGGGTTCCTGGAAGGGGGTGGGGGTGGCATGAGGACACAAGAAAAGGCCACAGAGCAACCAGCCTGACTGCTGCACAGAGCAGGGGGAGTCATATTTTACCTTTTTGCAGATCATGCCTGATATTTTGTCCACTTTTCTTACAAAGAGCTCAAAGGGCCTTCATCCTTAGACCTTCTAAAGCCTCACAACATCCCTGTGAGGCAGAAGAAATTCAGAACCACCTACATGCTCCACTGGGAGAAACCCAGAAGTAGCTTACCCCTCCCAAAGCCCACAGCCAAGTCGGGGCCTGAGCCCATTAACAGGATTTGAAAACTTTCACAATTTGGGATAGAAGATGGACCCAACCTTCATGGGGCAGACCTGCTCTTGCCCCTCTTTTCAGAAGCCTTCTGGGGTGACAGTGGTCATGTACTGAATATTGTAGGAGAGCAAGGAGGTACAAAAGCTTTGAGGACATGGCTCACATTAGGACCCCCAAACAGGCCCTCTACAAATCGCCTGGGTGAATACTGGGAATTTGCTGATGCAAAGGAGGAGGAAATAAGGTCTATCAGAAACAGAAGCAGGCTACTATCAGGGCAACTGAGCTTACAAAGGGGAAGAGGCATGTCAGGGGGACCCGGGGTTCACCTGCCTCCCGGTACTGCGAAGTGTGCCATTATTGCACATGTGCATGGCAAGAGGCAGCAGCACAAAGCTCTGCTCAGGCTACAGTGAAACAAAATCCATTGTTTAAGTCTCTATCATCTGATCTTTGGTAGGAGCAAAATGCTCTCTGAGAAGTTTCCAAGATCTGTGATCCAGCCCTGGAGGAAAAATGATAACCCAGGTCCTTTGCCAGACATAATAGAAATCCAGACAGGGGCTCTAAACTCAAATACAATAAAAGAACAAAAGAACTTGTCAGAGTCCAGTAATTCAACACGATTGGCTGGAATAGCAACTCTCTCCGATGCCATTACAGAATGAAATACAGGATATAGACTGTCTTTTAAGAGGTTCCTTCCAAAGTCTGTCCTCTCTGGTTCTCTTCCTTAACTGTGGCTGTGGTCACCTCATCAGACGTCGAAAATTGCACCACCCTGGTGAAATCCCTTTGAACCAAGTCTTGCCCCTCCAGGACTGAGGCTATTGAGCTATTTTTTTGGTTCATAGGTCCCAGCTTGGTTCCCAACACAGTAAGCACTTAAGTGAGTGCCTGGGAGGCTGAGCAGAGCCAGAGAGTACAGAACTGAAGGTGCTGGGTAGAATGCCAATTCAGAATCCAGGTATACAAGGTTCCCAGATTCTGAGTTTGGGGAGTGCAGGTGAGGGTATGTATGACCTAGGAAAGTCAGAGAGCATCTTGGGGAAAATAAAAAATGTCACTCCTTCTCTGGTGTCAGGCCCCAGTAAGCTGCCAGCTCAGAAACAGCCTCGGAGATCAGGAAATAGGTCTTCATAAAGGAAAAAGGATATGAATCAACCAAGTAGCTCAACCAGATGGTTCTGGTCAGTTCCACCCTGCCCCATGTTTCTCTGCTCTGAGGTTTGGCCCTTATGAAGCAGGAGAAGGGAGTCTTCCAGAGACAAGGTTGGACAGAGGTGCCACTGGCTCCTGTTTAATAAAATCTTTGGAGGCCAAGAGATTTTTATAAGAAGCTACAATCCTACCCACTTATTCTAGATTTCAGAGAAAGAGAAACATTAACTTCTTCCCTAGCTAGACTGTCCTCAAATATACCTACACAAGTCACACAGAACACCCTAAGCCCTGAATTGTCTGCCCCAAAGCCAAAGATGTGGGAGCTCATGTCCTTACAACCTACCTTCATAGTCTTCATGGGGGATTTCTACGGAGATTGTCCTGAAACAGAGCTGATGCTTTCTGTCAAAAACTCCTGTAATTGACTCGGCAGGAGTCCTGGCAGGGATGAGAGATGTGTTAAAGGTAGAAAGACCCAGAAAGAGGTTTATGGGGTGGAGAAAGTGAAACATAAGGGAACTCCAGAAGCCCCTGCTCCTTCATAAAACCAATAGCAAAGTTCGGCAGCCCCAGGTGCAGCCTTGCCCTAGATCAGTTAGAAGAACAGAGATTGTCTCCTGTGACATCCTTTAAGGCACCTAACACAGGGCTTTATACACAATTGGCACTCAATAAATGTGCTGATAATTGAATTTTTTTTAAAACAAACACCAATTTAAGAAGTGGTGGAGTCGCTTGAAGGTCACTAGTCACTGACTCCTCAGCTACCAAGTTCCTTACCTGAAATTGTAAACACTCTCCGTTGTCTGGAATGTGAAAGGAAAGGCCTATAACGGTTTGGCATCGCTAAGCTACTAATCCAGTCTGCACTGACTGGCCATTTCTGATCAAATATACTTTCCCCTGTGAAGGGAAGAGATTTATGGAACACACATGTCAAAACCTGCAAGGTTGTCAGGGTACCAGCTCCAGAACTCAGAACTCCAGAACTCAGAACAGTTTCCCCAAGTGCTCTTTTATTGTTATTATTTAATCATTGACAATTACTGAGCACCTACTGCATGCCTGGCCCTCTGCTAGGTGCTGTCTTGGTCACCCCACTGACGCGTTACAAAGAAAACTGCTTCACAAACCCCTATGCTCTAACAGCAAGGCCAGTTTTGCCCCTGCATGGCTCTCCTTCCCTTTCCTGGGCCAGAGTCTCCGCACAACTCCCAAGACACCAGAGCGGAGCGTGAGTAAGGGCAGGCTCTGCCCTTGGGTGCATGCTCCAGGGCCCTGGACAGTTATGGGAACTATCTGCAAGCAGCACAGGGAGTCCACATTTTGCATTTCATAGGCAATGTACTCTCAGATGGAGTTAAACTGGTCCTTCCAGGGATCAATTCTCATGCTCCTGGAGCCCTGACCCAGAATCCAGCCAAGGTACTCAAACTGGGCACACAGCAGCAGGGGCCACCCGTGCCCACTTAGCTTCAGTCTCAAAAGCCCTAAGACTTTTCCTTCCAAAACACACAACAGACCGTATGGGCGCCTCGATCTCAGACAGCTCAAGAACCACACAAAAACAAAGAGGAAAGAAGGAAGGAAAATGTCAAACCAAAAAAAAAAAAAAAAAAGAAGACATGCTTATTTCCAGAATTGGACCACCTATTTGGGATTTTGAGTCCCTGGAAATGATATTTCTCCAAAAAGAAGTGTGATACTAAAAAAAAAAGTTTTCCTACCGATTAAAAAAAAGACATGAATTAATAAATAAATGAGTCATTACAAAGCAGTTGCTAAAGCAAAGACAGGTATGAGTTACAAGGAGAGCAACCTGTAACATAGTCAACAATTTGTCCCAGAGATCTCATGATTAGAAGGCCTAAGGCGGATTAAGAGAAGGCCAGTTACAATTTTAAAAGAACTGCAACTTTTGAGAGGCTGCTAGGGGGTACCCCCTTGTGAGGAACGTAAAACATAAATTTTAAAAGCTTTGGATACCTCCACAAAAGGCAATTAAGACCTATGCTGTTAGAGTTTGCAGTTCATTTCATATGGTCTACACTTTATTCCCTGCTAACCAATCAAGTTCCCGGCTGGCATTCTGGAGATTCATTAAGCACCATATAAATACTCCAGGCCACACTGCCTCCAAAGAAATCTCATAAGGAGCCTTTGCCAATTACTAGGAAACAATTATGCACCAAGTAGTTGGATTAGCTGTCCTTAGTTCCCTTCACAAAATTAAAAAAGTCTCCATTGTAGTAAGTAGACCAGACTCTGATAACATTCTTATGCTAAAAAAAAAAAAAAAAGGCACTATCATTCTGAGAATGCAAGTTGACCATAGTTTTAAAGTCAGTTGAGTATACTATGTCATGGTCCAAGAATGTGCTTTTAATTGTAATTGACACACACAAATTACACAGTTAATCTGTGTGAATGCAAAGTTGCCAAGAAACGTAACATTTCAGCTCTTCCAGACTGGCGTCTGCATAGATGCAATCACACAAGTAAAATATATTAAGTCCCCACTGCTCAATGCAATAGGTCTCTGGGGTCGGTAAGGTAAGTCAACTTCGTAAATCTCATTTTCCTCTGAATTAAGTGATTGTCAGAAAGTGAATCACCCTTCCTTTTCCTCTCATTAGGCATGCTGCCGTGCAAAAATTCCTATAAAAATATCTTTTTGAGTCATTAATGTAAAATGAAGAAAACAGCAGCAGCCTAGAAGAGAGGTTGATATTTAAGAGAGGAAGAGAGAGAAGAAAAATCCACTGGATACCGTATGCATGTTAGTACAGTACTTTTGTTTGTTCAAACAATTCTGTTTTATGACAAAGGCACTGAAAGATTCTGACACCACCTCTTGGGAGTGCAATCCACAAAGTTCTAAACAGCAGACAGTGCACCACAGAAGATGTTTATGTTAGATCAGCCAAACTATAAAACTCTTGTAACACTTCTCTGAACCCAGTGTTTCCAGTGTTTATAGATCGCTTTGCTATCTGAAAGACCCAGTTAGTATTTAAAACTTTAAAGGGTTAAAAAAGTTAATCTTTCTCCCTGCAAGTTACCAACTCACAGCTCAAAGCCCACCCTGCAAGGAAAAACAGCATCGCCCTGGACTTCCTGGAATCTAGGCAGGACATCCACGCTCCAAGCTGCGACCTGCTAAAGTGATCAACGTTTTGATTTTTCACAGCTTTGAAAGCCTCTAACCGGCTTTTCCATTTTGGATCATTCCAAAGTCTGCAGCAAAATCATTGGCTTTATGATGCTGGTATAGAGGGCGGTGGGTTGATGGGGGTCACTTAAGTGTTGCTAGTTTGTTCAAACTGAGATTCACTGCATAAAACTTTTAGTGGCATTTCCACCGAAATGCTGGCATTCCCCCCACTTCAAAATGAGCAAAGTGTGGAGGCTGGCTAGCCTTATACCACAGTCTCGTTGCCTTTCCCAGGCTTCACCCAGCCATTCCCTCTTTTCTCTCTCTTTACCTTCCCAGAATTCACCAATCTGTTGGAACACTTCTGCCACGTGTGAAGAGTTTTGGCAGACCAAATCCACATGCCTGAAGTGATGCCCACCAACAAAGACATAAAAATTTTCAACATTTCAACTGCCATATTGGAGTCGTCTGCAGAATAGCGGAAGAGTGCCCAGTTGGAGATTTCATAGAAGTAACAGGCAATAACACAGGTTGCAGGAACCGTGTATAGTACTGAGAAAACCCCAATCTTGACCATCAGCCTTTCCAACTTGTCTGTTTTTGTCCCATCCTTTTGAAGATTTGACCGAATTTTGAACAAGGCCACCAAACCTGCAGCAATGAACAAAGTTCCAATCACCAAATAAGTAAAGAGGGGAGCCACCACAAAGCCAGTGAGGGCATCGAGATTTTGGTTCCCAACATAGCACAGGCCAGTCAGTTCATCTGCATCCACTAGTCTCATAATCAAGATGACAATGGTTTTCACTGCAGGGATGGCCCAGGCTGCAATGTGGAAATAAGAACTGTGCATTTCAATGGCTTCATGACCCCATTTGAGTCCTGCTGCCAAAAACCAAGTGAGTGTCAGAATAACCCACCAAATGGAGCTGGCCATTCCAAAAAAGTACATCAGCAAGAAAATTATTGCACATCCTGTGTTCTTAAGTCCTTCTTGGATGAGAACGGGTTCTGCTGCCTCTTCAAAATCGCAGGATATCCTTTCCCGGCCTACAGTCAGCCTGACAATATAAGCAATGCTATAAATATTATAGCACATACTGAGAAATATTATGGGGCGTTCAGGGTAGGAAAACCTAGAAGAATCGATCAGGAAGGTCAGTACAGTGAAGGCAGTGGAGATGAAGCACAGGCTGGCCCACACTGCCATCCAGATATCTGTGAACTCCTTGGCCGAGCGACTGTACAAGCCAGCATCGTAGCCACACTTGAGAACACAGTTCAGGCTCCTTTTCACCCAGATGTACTGATCAGAATTGGTTCCCACAGAGTGACACTCTTCCCCAGCCTGGATGGGGGTTTTGTGAGGTAAGGGCACCTCTTCATCACCGGGCCCTTCCATGCACATGTGGTTGTGATCGTTCTGCGGTGGGAATTTGCTGCAATTCAGGCTCTCCGGCCAAGCAAATCCAAATTCCTTCAGGACAGGTTCACAGCGTCTCTTGACTGAAAGACACATGCCACCGCATGGGCCAATGGGGATGTTGATCTTCTCTGTGCACATTGGCACATAAACCGAACAAAGGAAGAACTGGAAAAGTAATGAAATGAACAAAGAAAACAATGACTTGGAAGTTTGACCAAATGCTTGCACAAAGCTAAGTTGAATGCTTCCAGACAATGTATACACCTACTTTTAAACCAGCCTGTAGGGAGTCTGTCAGTTTACTCTGACCTCAAACAGGGGTGCCTAATAATCCATCACTTACACATTTTTCTTAGTTTGGCTCTAGTAATCCTTTCCAGAGGAACAAACAAATATAAAGCATCTGAAGAACTGCACACTGAAGGAAATAAACCTAAAATAACCAATTTTTTAATATATGTAAAAAATGTAGATCCTGTTAATATTCTCTTATTTCTCCATGTTAGCCCTTAATTTTTTTTTTTTTTAATCAGACCCATATTGAAACAGAAAATGTCCCAATTGAGACACTGTTAGACCCAAAGATGGGAGGCAGATTGGGGTCTCTGGTCACCAGGGGTTGGTTTATTTTATCACCGTAAAAATAAATGTAAAAAAAAATTGTAGATCCTGTTAATATCCTCTCATCTCTCGACATTGGCCCTTAATTTTTTTTTTTTTTTTAATCGCACCCATATTGAAACAGAAAATGTCCCAATTGAGATACTGTTAGACTCAAGGCTGGGAGGCAGATTGAGGTCTCTGGTCACCAGGGGTTTGTTTGGCTAGGTTTCCTCAATGAATAATAATGAGGCACAATAGGAAAATGTAAATATTAAGTCCCTGAAACTGCAATACCAGCAGGGGAGAGTCCAGTTGCTGTCCTCAATTCCTCCAGCATTGATAAACAGTCTGCTTGGCTCCTTACAGATGTTGTCTATGAAGTATAGGGTTACAAGCAACTATTTTCCAGCATGTAAAGGGATCCAATCTTGTCCTTCAAAACAGCTTGGCTGCTTCCCCAGGATACATGTAATTAAAAATATATACCCCTGCAAAAGCTGTTTCTCCAACAAAATTGCCACTGATGTCAGGATATGTGCTGTTTCCAAACTGAGAGCTAGAGGATCATTTCTTAAGCTTTTATAACCTCCTTCCAAAGTTCTGAAATTTCCAAAGGGACACTTCACCAGCAATAGGTTTAATCCCAACCATCTTTCCAAAACCACAATCTAACTTTTAAAATGACCTGTGTAAGAACATGCACCTAGTAAGTAAGCTGTATGTCTGTTTCTTATCTCTCAGAAGTTACAGCCAGAACCACAGATTCCTGAAACTTAGCCTGGACAACTAACCTCTATTTTTTTCCCCACAACTTCTCTCTTTTCAAATTTTCTAAAAATCACTCAGCTTCACCAACCAAAACACAACCAATGTTAACACTTCTTAAATTTTCCTTTCAGTCTTTCTCCCCTCAATGAATTGGTGGTTGTTTTTGTGTTTGTTTTTGCAAGATAACAATCACCCTGTACATGCAAATTCTTTCTTCACTTATTATTGTGGGATAAATATTTTCTACATCATTACATCAGCTTTACATTTTTTAATGACTGCAAAAAAAAATTTCTTCCAATATTCCAACTACCCTCCTAGAGCTTTTTCTCGCTCTCCAAGCATTAACCCTGCCTTCAACACTGAGGATAAGAACTCAAGCCAACCTAACCGTTCCTTCATGCATGACCTCTAAAACCGCGAGGAGGGGACATTCAGAAGAAAACGGTGCAGCGGTATTTCATTTAATAACCCACTGCAAAAATAAGGGGGAGAAAGAAGGTTGGTGAGGGACCGGGAAAGGAGAAATCCCGTCTCCTTATCTCCCTTTCCAAGTCTTAGCTACAGTTGGCTGCCCTATCCGAGACTCGCCCACCGAGCAGCAGCAGCCGAATCCTTGGCAAAGATAACTCTCAGCTCCACTGGGGTTAGGGGCTTGGCCAGACATGGGTGGGCAGGGGAGAAAAACGGAAGGGCGGGGTGTAAGAGTGGGTTCTTTCCCAGGCCAGATGACTTACACAACGTTTTGGCTTCCAGTCCCTGAGAAAGGACAGAAAAGTGGGGGTGGGGATGGAAATCACTTTTCCAGAAGAGTTGCACCCTTCAGGCTCGGAAAGGGACAAGGGGCTCGACTTGGCACGGACTCCGCGAAGTTAGTCTGGAGCGTCCCTCCCCAAGGGGGTCCCGCCAGGGGTGGGGGTGGGGGCGCCCACCTGCAGCTGGCTGGAGCAGCCGTACTGGATGAGCGGTGTGAAAGTTGTCAGCTGCAGTTCGGCGTCTGTCTGCAGCTCGTGCCCCACCAGGTTGGGCATCTTGGTCACGTTGTAGCCCAGGTTCTGGCACATGGAGATACGGATGGGGTCGCAGCGCCGCTCCTCCTCGTCCCCGAAGCCCCGCGCCGGCCCCAGGAGAAGCAGCAACTGCAGCAGCAACCGCAGACTGAGCCCAACGCCCCCGGGCGCCCCCGGGACGCTCGGCCCTGCGCCCCGCCAGGCCATAACCAGAGTAAGGGGCAGCAGCGGCGGCGGCGGGGGCTCCTCCAGGAGACACCCCCAGGTTGCACCGGGGAGCCGCTGCCCGTGCTGCTTCCAGCTCCGGGGAACGAGTGTGATAAGGCGCCAAGGGCGACGAGGGGCCAGCGGCCGGCTCTCCGGCAGCTGCGCGCGACTGTGTGGAATACTAGACGCCCCAGGCCGAGGCTGAGGGACAGACTGCGAGGGTCATGGCTGCAGGCGACAGGCCCACGACCCGGCACCGGCCGCGTCCGCTCAGCGTCTCCGCGAAGCCCGCCAGCACCCTGCACCCGCCGCTCTCACCGCCAGAGCCCTGCGCGGCGCTGGAGGCTCGCAGTGCGGCGGCGGGGCGGGACGGACAGCGCGCCTCTCCAATGGCCGGGTGCCGTGGGCAGCGGGGGGCGGGGCTTCGGGGCGGGGCCGCCTCCCGCTGGATGGGTCAAGTCCCCGCCCTCCGGCCCCCTCCTCTGTGCGTCCCACCCTCCCTCCCGGGAGCTCCCAGCCCCGCCCGGCCGCCTGGCTGCCCCGCGCACACTTTCCTCCCACCCGGATCTAGGCGCGCTGGGGCCTGGCGGGGATGGAGCCTAGTTGCTCCGGCCAGGGCAACCTGCCCCCCCCCCTCCCAGGTGAGAAGTGCTGCCCCATCAATCTGCCCCCTTTCCTTTCCGTGTCCTTCCAGCTGTCACCTCGGCCCGTGGCAGGTTTCGCTCCTCATCAGGCAGAGAAACGTACACAAAGAACACGGGATTTGGATTTACAGATTGTGGCTTTAAATTCCGGCTGTGTGACCTTGAGCAAATTGCCCAGCCTCTCGGCGTCAGTTTCCTCCTCCGTCAAGTGACTTGGGAGGATTAGAGATAAAGCGTAAACGCTTAGCGCCGTGCCTGGTACCGTGCGAGTTCGCAGCTATTTTCACTCCTAACTTGCTAGGGTTGGAGCCCGGCCCCTCTCCCCGCCCCCAGACTCGCCTGACCTGCGCCCGGGAGCTGCCTGACTCCAGCAGCCAGTGGGGGAGGCGCCCCGGAGCAGCCGGCCAGCCGACGGTCTCGCGCTCCGATTTCCTCACCGTATGAAATGAAATTCCACAGGGGGATTCGAAAGGAAATGAGACCGGGACGCTCCGTGCTTCTCGGCCCGCCGCCCTTCCTGTCTCGGGGACACGGTTTCTAAATAAGGTTGGGAGGGTGAAAGGGTGGGAGGGGAGAGGATTGACTAAGGGCACTAAGGGCGAGGAAGGCGCTCAACCACCAGACTCCCCTCCCCCAGACTTCCGGGCACCCCGCCCTTGCAGCCTGTACCCCTTTCTTCCTTATTCTGCTTCTGCGTTGGGTTCTGGGGATCCGGAGATCATGCGACCTGAGTTTCAATCCAACTTTCCTGTCTCTCATTCCCAGGGCCCCCGGGGCTTTGTGCTGGTCCACCCTCTCTCTGCTTTCCAGCAGGCCAGTGAAACTCCCAAGCAGGTGGATTCCTCCTTGTTATTTGACTGTGGTCAAGCTCCTGCGCTTCTCTGAGCCTCAAACTGGCCATGTGTGAAATAGAGAAGTTCGTGTCTGCCTCACACAGTTGTTCTAAGTTAAATGAGATAATGCCTGTAAATCATTCAGCGCAGTGTCTGACACAGAGTAAGTACTGAATAACTTGGTTATTGTGTTTTGGGATTTTTTTTTTTCCCTAGAACAGCTAGGGGAGGCCAATTGTGGTACAACCTCCTGTTTTCCAGCCTGCTGTTAAAGACATCTCCAGCGGCCCAGATCTGACAGTCTGGGTAAAGGGCTTTCAGCCCTCTTCCTGAGATCCTTTTGTCCACACCTGCCACTGTTGCCCTAGGGCTGTTTTTATGTATGATTGTATCCTCTCATTTCAGCCAATTATCTGGCACATGGCAGAGGCTAGATACAAGTTGGAAGCATATCTCTACCACTCACGTGGTGCTCATAGTCTCTCTTGTATTTTTAGTCTTCTTTACTTATATTGGCAGCTAGACTTGGCTGAGGGCAAAAATGGAATCAACTTTTTTTGGTATTTGGCTCTGTGCCTAGAACTGTGTTGGACATATAGAAGCTGCATTGTCTCCAGTCATCATCATAGCCTCCCAGTGAAAGAGACTGTCTTAGCCCCTTAAAGAGATTAGGAAACTGAGGCTAGAACTAGCCAAGGCCCTTCAAAGATGGAAAGCAGGATTATTTCCCCAGAAAAAGTTCCCAGGTGGAAGTCAATGTGCTCAGCAATAGGGTTGAATCTTCATGTGTTGAGTGATGCATGAGACCCATTGGCCTGCAGAAATGAATAAATAATCATGAATAGATCAAATGAATAGATGATCCCTATCCTCTAGGACCTCACAGGAGGAATTAAAGAATATATAAACAACAATAACTCAGTGTGGTAGGTGCACAGATAGAGAATTTTGAGTAAATTGAAAGTAGAGGTAGCTGAGTTTGGAGGACTACTCAAAGGGGGACGACTTGCAGAATTCTGAGCTACTCAACAAAGTGGAGTTAATATACAACTGGCACTTCTCCTAGGGTGGGGTGGGGGAGAGGGCATGTTTTATGCTGAACATATATATGCATGTTTATTAAACAATGAAGTTCCTCACCCAGGGCCTGGCACAGAGAGGGACATCATTAGTGCTGGGTGAAGGAATACTATCATCAGATCGATAATAAACCATTCATATAGAACTGTCACTCTGTGCCAGACACTGTGTTACGTGCCTTACCTTTATTATTTTACTTATTTCTCAAAACGCCTTGAGAAAATTGAGAGCCCAAGCAGTTTGCTCAAGATCACATAGTAAGTGTTGGAGAAGGACCTGTGCATATCTGCCTGGCCTAAACTCTGCAAGCACGGTACTGCTCTTCCAGAGGAAACTGCTTAACACCTGACCTAATCTGTAGATAAAGGTGACTCTTTTGTGATCTGGATCTCTTATTCCTAAACCTGACGTCTCTGCCTCAGCTTGCTTGAAGCAACTGTCTTCTTTGAAAACACGTGAAGAAGCCCCTTGCCTGTCAGAAGCTTTTCCTGTCAACAGCTTTTCTTTCTAGTCATGGAACTCATCACAGGTATTTTCCAAAAAAGAAAGCCAGAGGAATCACATTTCAGTCCGAATGAGGAAGAAAACAAAGACCACAACTTTAGAGCTGTGTGTGAATGGCCTGGATCCCCTCAGCCTCCCTCTCGTTTACACAGTCTACAATCTGCCTCTGGTGACAGGCACGGCATGTTTGTCTTTGTTACAGAAAACACTTCCCTCAGGGAGTTCCAGGAAGAGGAATATCCAGGCTGTGACATGCACAACAGCTCTGAGAGGAAAAGATAGGGACTAGTGAATAGGATCTTCAGTTAAACTAAAGCGCAGGCCATGGGCCTCTAGTGGCTCTGGCTTGAGTGCCTGGGCAGTTTCCTTGGTCCCCCTCTGAGCAGTAAAGATGCAGCTACTTTGGAGCTGCAACAAACATGACTTCAGCAGGCTGTTGGGCAGTTGGAGGGCTCTCCATTTGTATCTAATGAGAGGCTGGGTTCTAATTAACTCCTGTGATGTGTTAATTTTTCAACCTGGCATTTTCTGCTCTAATAGATTCTTGTAATGGTTCCTAAATTAAAGGCTGCATTGGAAGACTAGCGTTTAGGTTAAAATCCACCACCTAAGGGGGTGGGAGCCATAAACATCCTTTCCCTCCTAAGGAAAACCTCTCATTTGCAGTTCTCTGCTAACCCAATTAAGTGCTGAAGTAGTCACCCCAGAGCCTGCTTTTTATTTCCTGAGAAACAATCCAACTAATCCATATTCAGTAGCTTCCAAGAAAAGTCTTATTCCAGCCACTCATGAAGAAATCAGCTTCTTTGAATCTAGACAGAACATTTAGAACTCACAAAGAGCTGTCTTGATAGAAAATGCAAGAAAGTGGTTCATTATTACCCTGGTTGGTTTTTGAGGGAAAAATTCACTGGGACTAAAACCCCATAAGTATTGGGAATTTACTGTGGAACAACAGAAGCATGGGGAGAAGCCATGCCACATACCATCAGTTTATAAATAGTCAGAGTGCTATATCTTCCCCTGCACCCAAACTAAGAATCAAACAAAAACTTGTCTACTGGGTAAGGTGGAAGGGATCTTACTCCAAGTTGAGGGATCAGAGGTCCCAAAAGATTAAGTAATAGCTATTAAGTGACAGGGCCAAACTCCCTTTTTAGTCCATTGCACCACTGGCCAGCAGAGAAGAATCATCACCACAGAGCTCATGTGTGTCAAGAAATCAAAGCTCTATTGTTCCACCCACCTATAAATTTAGCAAGCATAAGATAGTACATCAGACATTATTATTTATTGGTGGTGATTGTTTATTGTAAAGAAGGACAACCAAGAACCTTCACGGGAGGCAAAAAATAATACAAAACACTTTGTACCTCTACAGCCTCATTTCATTTCAGTATTTATCAGTCAAGCCATTAGCAAATGTTTAGTGATGGGTTATCGTGGACATGTCACTGAGCTGGATACTGGGGAGTGGTATGCAGGCATGTAAAAGGTGGTTCTTGCCTTCAAGGAATCTATAGTCACATTGGACATTGAGGGAGATTGAGACATGAGACCAAGAGTGAAACGAGTTTGTTTATGGTTGTGTGCTTTTTCTTGGGTTTCCTTAGTCTCAGTCTCCCCTGGTCATGGTACATAAGGTTCTGTGTTGCAAGGGTTTTGTTTTGTTTTTGTCTCTTTCATTGTACTCTATGGTCAAAGTTTGTATCTTGCTCACTGTGGTGCCCCTGAACAGCACAGAACAATGTTACCTGACCTGACCTATGGAAGGTGCTCAATCATTATCTGTTGAATAAATAAATAAATGGTTCAGGCTATAAGTGACCTGATTCTTCAGAAGAAGAGAACCTTCATTATGGGCTATGTATAGGCAACCACAAAAATACAATCCAACTGGTTCCAGAATGATGGTCAAGTCCAGATTATAAACCACTCCTATAAGTCAGACATGGTTCACAGCTTCCAGTTTTCTTCTAAAATCAGATGTTTTGCCAATTATTTATCTTCCTTTTTTGTTTTACTGTGCCTATTCTTTAACCTTCTAAGGTAGAAAAATATCTTGATCTAAATCATTTACTTTAGAGGCAAATGTATTTCTCTATTTCATGAATCAGCCCAAGACATCTTCTTATCACTGTTTATTGGCTAGTCAATCACTTGCCTCATTATTGTCAGCTGAAGCTGTTAGGAATTATATATGCCACAAGAAAAGTGGTAAGAGCAAGGCTCTCAAGCAAAGGCATTGTAAGTAAGGG